CGTCAATGAGCTGAGTGTTGTAGTAACCCTGCCAATAGGACAGGTCATTAGCGGAGACGCTCGCCAAAGCGGCGTTGACATCGGAGAGTGTGGTTTGATAACCCTGACTTTGCAAGAACTCGTTCAAGGCAAAGGTGCTTGGAGGCGCGTCACCAGAACTGCCTACGAACTCATTGTTGTATTCTTGGTACAGAGTGTTGTCGCTCCGGAGGGCTTGAACGAAGCGTGTGGCTTCAGCGGTTGGGTTGCTGGTAACGGAAGACATAGTGTCTTGCAGTTTTCTTGTGCTAATCTTTGATGAATGTTTGCAAGTAGAGGTAAGGTAGTAAATGTAGAATATTAGATGGGGAGTTCGGGGAAAACAAACATATTGGGATTCACTTGGTGCCAACCTTTATATCTTTCCTCCTCCATGCACGGCAACTTCCTATGGCCGCGACGTGAGATTCACAATTAACTGCATAGAATAAGCTCCTTCAAGTCCATTCCTCCTTCGATCTACCATATGAAGCTTATCTGATAGTATTTGCCGCGAGACTGGACTGTCTAAAGTCTCACTATCTAAGGGCTTGTCTCGGTGATGGTGTGGGGCATCACGTCACTTAACGCATTCAGCCTTAGCAAGCACCAATCTAATGTGAACTAACAGGGGTTTTGAACGCCAGATTTCACTTACTCCGCATGACACAGCATAAGTATGTGCTACTAGCACATAATTATGTCCTTGTAGCAAGTGTGCTTTGCGAGCCCCTACTTGAAGAGTTTCCAGCCGCAGCCACGCCAGCATCACCCGTTTGTGATCGTACGACAACGCACCGAATACGGATGATCGAGCGGCATGAGGGCTTCAGCCGTGAATACAAATTGTGGTCAGGGGGGATCTGAAAGCTCACAAGACCATTCAATACGTTTACGCATGCAGATTCAGCTACGAAATGTGACGTTTGTCCCCGGACAAGAAGCAACAACGCACAAGATGTAGCATCCAGGGCACTAGGCACCATATTGTGGAAACTCTGTCTCATTTAATACTTGGTCTGAACCTAGAAGATGATTAGAATCCTGTCTCAGCTGAAGTTCGGGGTACCCTGACCATTATCTTCCCAGGTGCTTTGCTTTCCCCGAACCAATGTCAAGTTTTACGAAAACAGGTACAGCATACCATGAACAGCGTGATGGACCAAAGTTGAACGCAAAGCTTGCTCAAGTGCAGAACGAATACAATTATGAGAGAGATTGCGCCCCAGAGAATGCAAGTGGAAACTGAAACCTGGAGCGGTAATAGCTTGTCGATCATTGTTCCCCTCGGAAATACAAGCATGTCCAGTTTCATTGATCATTGTTCATTAAGTAGACCAAAGATTGTGTTATCTCTACTGCGCGAACAATTTATTCACAAAACTTTCTCCCTGTCAAGGGTTGTTGTGAAAGCTTTCAAAACAGCGGTGTCATCTTACTCTGAAGCGAAGATTTCCTGGTCTTGCAGGAATGAAGTGTTTAATCAGAAACTGCCCCGGATCCTTCTACCAGAGCATAGTTCACGTGCCATATGAAGTGCGTATCTAGCCCGGACGCCCCCCACCCCTCTGATCAAAATGTACAGCCGAAAGACGTCTCGTCACACCCAAGGTATGAAGCACAGCCGAAAATGGTATGTGATCAGAAATCACAGCCCAGAACTCTGTTTGCATTTAGATCTTTCGGGTTAGGTACCTCATCATCTTTCCCTAAATGAGTGTACCAGGCCAGAAAGTCCGGGATGGTCTCAAATATGTGCTCACCATCAACGGCTGTGCACAAAGTGTACCTCCACTGCCAAGCATCCTCGTCACATTGGCGGCAGTACAGGATGCTGAAGTTGGCATCAGGTCCGGTTCCCGGCGTCCAGCCTCCCGCAATCTGCCAGGAGCTGCCGAGGCCCGCATACTCCTCTAGTTCCTCGGGTGTCATGACTGTTGAGGCATACGAGCCCAGGTACCGTCTACACCCCCACCAGAAAGCTGGCTGAATTGCGTTGCGCCAGAAAGGTATGCCGTAACCGAGGACGCCGTCGACCAGCCCGGCCAGAACGCGGAAGTCTTCTGGGATAGAGATCGTCTCCCGTACGTCCTCTCTTGATTTCAGCCTGAGGTTCTTCTCGATTTGGTCGAGGTACTCGCGTCGCTTAGCCTTGCGCTCCTCGTGACTGCCCTCGTGCATTACGTAGGTGCCGTCGGCGCCGATCTTTGGGGCGAGCTCGTCGTAGCGTGTTAGAACCTCATTTGGCTCTGAAACACCAAAGTCTGCGAGCGTTGTATCGAGAAGTGAGCCCAAAGCTTCCAGGCGAAGCTCATTGAGATCTTCGTCGTCTTCCAGCTCATCGGGTTCGGCTGTGGCGATGAAGGGTACGTAAACATCCAGAATGCGGCGGTTTTGTTCTGCGATGAACGATCGGTAGGCTGCAAGCGAGGCCGCGATATCTTCTTGAGATGAGGGCATATTGTGAGGTGGAACAACGCCGGTAACCCGTCCGGAAAAGAAACAAAATATGGCCGCGGAAACAGAGGACAAATTGGCCACAAAAAAGATAATGCAGGTATTTAAATGACCCCACATCCGACGCTGGTGCCTGGAACTAGTGATAGTCTCCCGTCGTTGACGATAAGATCTTGTGCTTCATGCTTGCTGTGGTCGACAACGTGGCTTGCCCGGTCCGGTCTTCCACTGACGCCGCATTTTACTACTCCAAACTTTACAATGAAGTAGAAGTTGCTGCTGATCTCTTCAACTCGATGATAATGTTCTATGTTTTCTGTGTTGTCTCAGGCTTGCTTCTGATTGCTGGAAACGAAATTGCGAACCAACACGAAACCAACGAGAGTCGTCTCATTGCCGCCAGATGGGCCCTTGCCGCTGTGCCGCATTGCAACTGCATGATTTTACGAGTGACTCGCTACCAAAAGTAAAAGAATGCGGGTTTCTGCAGGTGAATTGCAACAAATACGCATGGCGTCTTCAGCCGAGAAGAGGGGAACCTGGAACCAACAAGGCCAAGCCTCCCAATGTAGCCACATCGCCGGACGGCAGAATGAGTTATGATCTGACTTATACACGCTGGAAAGAATCCATAGCCGCCTGGAAATCAGGATTCCTTAGTTTCTCTCTTCAGCAACTCCTGTCAAAGAGGTCCTCGCCAAACATCTTACTGTCCTTACCCATGTCTGGCCAAAACACTACAGCCAAAGCTGGGCTCAGCGATGGCGCTCTCAACAAAAAACATCGATCATCTCACGGTGTCAGTGACGACAGCAACGGTGTGCTTGCTGCAGATGAGGTCGAACACCACAAAAATATTGAAGCGTACAATTGCTGACTCGCTTGACGACCAGGTCGCGGTTGACGATGTCTCTTCCATTAGCGGAGTAAGCGATAGAATCTGACAGACCATGAAGGCACGACGTTGAAACGTCTTTTACACAGGGAACCTTCGCCTCTTCAACGACTAGCGTAACTGGCTTCTTTTGTTGACGACGTCTGGCGGGCGGAGCTGCGCCCCTGTGCGTCGATCAGCCTTCAGCCTTCGGCCTCCCTGTCCAGAAAAGACAACCACTAGGAAATAAAAAGAAAGAATTGAGAGAGAATTTGAAAGTTTCTTTTAAATCTAAACCTCAGAGCCTCAATTGATACGCCTAGTATTAGTACTATCAGTATATAAGTATGCTAAATCACTATAGACAAGATCAGTCCGGGAAGTTCACGACTAAGTGGAGAGTCTCTTTCTTTTCACTTTCTTATATGATTGTTCAGGACAAGTCTATTAGACGAAGGTTTCTTCGCATAGTAACCACAGCTATACACTGATCATCTCAACATCGTGTTACCCATGGCATTGGTGACATTGCCTATATTTGCCTGGCTCAAACCACCTACTGCCTCATCTCGGAAAGCTGCTCTAACTAGGTCCGCAACAGTACCACCATTCTGTGCTTCGGGGAGCATAAACCAATCTATCTGCGAGTTGGGTATAGATAAGTTGAAACCCAGAGTGATGAGTCGACTAAACTTTTAATAATAATCTAGATAGGAGGCGTGCACGATGACATACCGTCTTATAGCATCATCAGGCTGGCCGTCGATCAAATCCACACTTTGGATGAAGCCGGCTATCGTCAGGGGCAAAGGGCAGTAATTCTTCCAGAGATTAACTCGATCATTGGCTGTCCCTGTAGTGACGCCAAAGCGAAGAAAAACGACCTGATTGCCCCCAACAGTACAGGGGTCTGTTATTGTCCAATATACGGTTTTAACCATTGGAGCGTGACAGATATGCTGATATCTCTGAGACTATCCCACTTGATAGGGGGAATGTAGTGCGAAGGATTTGTACTTGCTCGCAGGATAATTGCGGTCAGACCAAGGATGACCTAGAGAAGAAAATGTAAAGAAACAGTATGCTATGGAGAGTGGCTGTCAAGTCTGTATTCATAGTTCTCTTGGACAAAAATGAGAAGCTACACGCGGCGAAACTTCAGTAGGGGACGTAAACAGCAAGCCACACGAGCTTTTCTCAAATGTCTATTGCAGAGACTCAATAAGCGAGCCATTTCCTCTCAATCTGGTTTCAGGGTCGGTGCCAGTCGACAAGCGAGCTCCTTACCAATGAATGCGGTCAATTGACGCTTTCGAGGCGTCTCACTGTGTTCAGCCTTACTGGGCCGGCGCGGTCGAAAGTCAAGCTAGCATGGGGATCAGTAGAGCCCGCCAGCACCACCAGGGGGTTTGGGCTAGGAGATGAGGAAGATCGGATGCCGCGCCGGGGTCGGTTGTAATCTCTCAAATCGGAATGCTTCGCTGAGATCAGTTCTCAGACCTGTCTCTGACCCAAACCCCATCCGTCCATGTCGTCCTACACTACAACGCCATGTCTCACCTCAGCTCCAAACAGCCAATTCTCCATTCTCTCGCACCTCACAGTCTCTCCCCCATAATATCAACGCGTCTCTATTTTTCCAATGACAAGCGGGCGATTGGTTTAGTGGTAACGACCTTTTCGCATGGGGTAGGTCCTATGTTCGATTCATAGATTGTCCACGTTCCTATTTTATTGTGTGCGTTTTGCGTGACACCGGCCTATACCTCTAAGAACTTTGATGGTCTGTTCTGATCTGATTGGAGTTTGGTGCTTGGAATAATCACTCGATGGTCCCTGTGAAGATTCCTATTTCGTTCTGAAAGACCTCTAGACAGTCTATAAGGCGAATTGTGTCATCATATTCTTCAAAATCGACACGTTCTTCTTGCTTGTCACGTCCTGGCGAAATGCTAGAACAGACGGGACTGACGAAGCGATCAAGGCCCTTTCCCAAGATGTTCTAGCTTCGCTTGGGCCGGAGGTTATCATGGCTAGCATGAGTTGGTCCAGAGTTTCTGGGAAATGTACAGATCACCTATGCCAGTAACATGTGCACTTTGTAACCTTGGGCGATGGTGATTGTTTGCCATCAATGAGATTGTGCGCAGTCTCAAATTGTCTTGTGAAACCAAGGGCCAGCGGCCCAATTGTCGTACATAAGGCAGACGTCATGCAGAAAAGCCGGACGAAAGACATACTGCGGCAAGAACCTGCCATTCGTCTGCAGTAATCAGCAGCTTTTCGTGTGGGACTTCTCCTGTCTTCCTGAATATTCTCTGACCTCAGCGAAAACTGAGAGTCCATTCAATTGCGGGTTCCAACATGTTCGGCCCTACAAAGAACTTGGATGTAGAACTCCAGCCCCTGAGATTGCGTGGTTGGTCTCATAGCCATCTCCGCGAATCCACAGGTAAACAAAGCGACATGAAAATCAGACTATCATTTTGCTGACTTCGGAAAGCGAGGAACACGGACGAGGACGAGCCCCTGGAGGATTTCGAAAGCAACGTTCACAATCTAGTAGCTGGCGGCGACGTGAACATCAACAGCAATTCGACGAACAATAACTACACTACGTCCGGATACGGCGGCTACCCTGAATGCCACGATATCATGGTTAGAAACGTTATGATAGATCGTGTCGGCCTCGATGAAAAGCAACTCGCGGCTATGCAACGCCAACGACGTAACGTTATCGAGGATATTCAATGTGGTATCAAGACAAAGTCAACCACAACTGAGAGCTGCACTGCCCACCACGAAAACATTGGATCAGGATCAGAAATGGCCTGGCGTCCAAGATGGTTACAAGGCCAAGTCCTGACAGCCTTCACCGGCTTCTTCCTCTTGACGGTGATTGCTCTTGCTTTCGTCTTTTGGTACAGCAACAACCACGACAACGTTGGAAAGCTAGGAAAGGCTTTGTCCATGTTTGGAAATTTGGCCCGACCATTGGTAAGCGTGCCCTAAGCTGATGTATCATCCACATCGATAAATAACGTGGAAAATAGTCTTTAGTCTTCACCATCGTTGCTGCTTTTTTGGGCAAGATTTGATCTCCAGGATATAATATATATGCCTTGGATTGCTTTGAACTCAAAGACGCAGTCACCAGACGAAAACCATACATCTGAGCTAGACTATCTATGTCGTCACCAGCAATTCTCGTCCAAGCGATACGGCGCAAACATCACCTACTTTATCTCGCTTCAACTATTTCGCTGCCTCTTAAAGTCCGAATTGCACTATGCTCAAGTTTGTTTCGAGTTTTCCACATCAGTCTTAGCCAAGCAGTCAACATTACAGTATTGGACTCATTCGATGTTGACGCCGAGTTTCCGAATCTCGATCTCTTTAACCAGATGAAGACAAGCGCCTATTACCTTGCTCGCGCAGCAAATGACTTTACCTTGCTTCATCCCTTTGGAGTAAGCGAAACAGCAGCCTATCAAACCTTCCAAGTAAAAGATCACAATAACGTCCAGTCCCGAGGCACTATGGATGCGCCCTTGAAGTTAGTGGTGGACGGCCTTTTTTCAAACATCCAATGTCTCATGTTGGAGAACTGCACCATCACTGGATTTAAGGGCGAAAACGTGGTTTTTATTGATCTTTACTCCGAAGGATGTGATAAACCCACCAAAGCAAGGGAGTACTGGTATTCGTTCAAGGAAACTAGGGCGCCATCATGGCATTTTGAAGGCAAGCTCCCACCAGAGAACTCGTGTTCGACTTTACCACAAAGCAGACAATTTGTTTATTTCGCAGCAATATTCAAAGGAACGGGCGTGAGAGAAGCACCATGGGAACTTGATGCTTCTGCCGGCATAATTTGCTCCCCAGTTTCATGGTTATCTAAAGTAGAGGTTATCGACAACGGCATCAGCCCAAGGATCAGGCCGCTGCCAAACCAGGATAACATCACCTTCTCTACAGATATATGGGAGATAATCACATATTTGTGTCTACAGCGCAGCATACCATCTAAGCCGAATCAATTAATTAATTAATTAACTAATCAAATTAAGGCTATTTAGAGATTTAATTAATTAAGTTAATAGCGCTATTAGCTTAATAGATTTAATTAAGTTAACGTTTACTAGAATAAAGTAAATCTAGTTTCTAAACTAATTAGAATTTTTAAAAGATTTTTAAAAAACATAAAAATATATATTACTAACTATATTTAAAGAAATTTATTATTAGTAATATAAAGACTTATAGTAGAATTTAAACTTATAACTTTATACTTTATTAAATAGAGTTAGGAATTATACTATTTAACTATATAAATACTAATAAATATTAATAAAATAATTTTTATCTAATAAATACTTTATAATACTTAATTTTTTAAATATAGATTATTATAAAGCTAAAACGTACTTTTAACTAGTAAGCTTAATTAATATATTTTTAGCTTCCTTATTAAAGCTTAAAAAGAACTTATTTTTTAACTCCTTTACTAGTTTTTAAAAATAACCCTTTTTTAATATTACTACTAGCGCTACTACTATTACTACTACTATACCTTAAAATCCTACTTATATATACTTCTTAATATCTTTTTTAACCTCTTACTTATTACTAGGATACCTCTACTAACTTATAATTAATATATTAATTACTTTATTAAATATAAAGCGTTATTTCTTTATAAAATTATTACTTAGATTTATATATTATCTACTACTACTAGTAATATATTAACTATTAACTTAGCTATATATAATACTTTTAAAACCTTACTTTATACTATATAAAAAAGCTAGTAGTTTATTAATATTAATACTATTTTTAAAAAAAAGAGTTAAAGTTATACTTCTTAGATTACTAATAAAAGTATATTTATCTTTAAAATTATACTTAATAGTATAAGAGAGAATATCTACTAAATTTACTAATACTATAATAAAGTAGAAACTTTTAATTAACTATATAATATTATTACTACCTTTAATCCTACTTAGTATTTTAAGTATAATTACTTTATTTTTGAAGATACCTATAAAGTTAGTAATATATCTACTAATAATCTTAATAACTTTAGTACTTTATCTAAACGCTATTAATCTCTTTTTATTATTATACCTAAGTAGAAAACTATATAGATTAAAGAACTAGCTATAAGTTTCTTTATTAATATTAACAACTTTCTTATAATATTTAATAATTAATATATATAGTATATACTTACTTTATTTAATTATAATATTAATATTTAAATATATTAATTAAAAACTAGTTAGAGGGATTAACTTTAATAACTTTATATCTCTAAAAAATAATAGATGAAATAGGAGATATAGAAAGCTCTTATAAAGATTTATATATTATTTAACTTATAGACCTCCTCTAATTAATATATTATTATTACTAGCTTAATACTTATACTAGTAAGAATATTACTACTATAATATATATAATTATAAGAGATTAATACTTACTTATCAAAATTAGTATTATAATCTCTAATAATATTAGTATTAATAATATTTATATTAAAGCTTTATATCTATCTATTTTGTAGTTATATATAGAAATAGACGTTTAATATTATTAAATTTAATATTATAGCTATATCTTTAACTTTATTAGTTATACTATTATTTATAAAGTTAATAAAGAGGTATTTAAGTAAGAGTTTAATTATTTTATTAATACTAATAAGATCTAAGAGGACCTAGCTTATTAAAAGACTAAGAAACCTATTAGTAAACTTTAGAATATTATTAAGTATTAAGTTTATAGTTATAACGTAGCCCCCCTATAAAAAGACTATAGTAAAATTCACCCTATACGTAGGTATAATTCTAGAAATACTATATAGGTACTTTAACCTATACCCTCTACTAATTAAGGAAAATAGTATAGAAACCCTATACATTCCTACTAGTAAGTAAACCCTTATAAAAAGTCAAACACGTACCCTAGCTAAATAGACCGGCGGAACAGCAACGGCGCCGGCCGCGCGGCGCGGGGCCGATCACATCGGGGCTGAACGGGTCACTGAGGCTCTCACGATCACGTGACCGAAGGCTGTGTGTATTGTCAGGAGGCGCGGAGTTAGGAGGTCTGTCGCTCTAAGCAGGTAAAAATCACAGTGAACGGCCAGAGGCCATGACACACCAGTATTATCTGCCGTTTTCCGTTTCGTATTCACCTCCGAAATAATGTCAGACTGCCACGTCACCATGTCATCTATTCCCCTCAAGGTTCACGGATTCGGGAAATCTTCGCTAAACACAACGGGAAGCTGAAGACTCTTGAGCAGCCTCCAGTGTACCGATCATTAATCACAGATGTCATGGTCACTGTGGATTTGTAATGAAAAGAAGAAAGAACGCAGACGAGCAATTCATAGTTTATATTGGACAATGTGAGGTATGTTTCTTTTGCAACACGCGTGCCCCTGGATCCCTAGCGTTTAACCTCTGCCACCTTCACAACCCAACGTTCCAAGGCATCTATAGATGTGAGCACCTCCCTTCCTAAAGTGTCCTTGCAGCAAAGCAACGGGAAATTTCTTCATTCTGTGGAAAGTTCCTAGAGGATCGTTCTCGACGAGTCAGCTACACCAATCCACTCCAAAAGTGTGGGGAGTTGGAATCACGGCTCCCCCACTCACAACAGATCAACATCTTCATCCATCATGTTCTCTTTCGTATCCGCCTGAAAA